TATACATATATATATATATACTATACTATATATATATATATATATATATATATATATATATATATATATATATATATATATATATATATATATATATATATATATATATATATATATATATATATATATATATATATATATATATATATATATATATAGCGTAGCCATTCGAATATGCATATATACATAACAGACGGCCAGCAGCTTGAACAGGTACTGTATCCCAACCCACCTGTCCTCATGTATACCTACCACAGCTCGTGATACACCCATTGACACCCAGAAGCATCATACTTGCCACTCTCGTATGGTCATCACAAATTATTATTAATTCAAATTACTGGCTCTGGCAGGTAATATTGCGCCCTTCGCACTGAAACTAACGCTCCGCAGTCCACACTTGACTCCGGTCTCACTCCGAATGTATTCTGCATCGAGATTGCTACGGATATACAGTCGACCATGACTCCCACAACCACATAATACCGGCATCTGGCCTATGTATGTATACTAACAACCAAGAAAGCCTCCATAAGGATGTTTCATATCCATTTCAACACGTACACTCCTCACATACCTTTGGCCTCTTCATCCACCGGGTGCAATGCCTGCTCAGCCACACGCTTCCGCGCATACTCGAAGTGGTCCTTATCCCACTCCACATCATCCCAAGCATTGTGTTCCAGGACTTTTGTAGGATCCACCAGAAACCTACTTCTGGCAACCATGCGTGTGCCTGCAGGTATAACTCCTGTAGTGCCATTGTCCATTATTTGCACAGCGTCTGTGGCCGCCTCAGTGTTTGTTTGTGGTTGTGATTCTGCTTCACTAGCTGTTGAGGCTGATGTAGTTGAACTTGGTACACCTGCTACTGGTTCTTTCTCGAGTTCGTTACTCTTGGAAGGCGCTTGAATGTCAACGTCGCACACTATAGTACCATCTCCTGCTATATCCGTATCTGATACCGCATCCTTTTGTGTAGTCGTCATCTCAGCAGCTACTGCATGCACCGATGATTTATCATTCGAGTGTTCTTCCACGCTTGGCGGTTGTTTGCTAGCATCTGCTGGACCACTTAAACTAACTACAGCTACTGGTGAGGTAACGCTACTCGCAGCGTTAGAGCTCTTAATATCAGTTATATTATCTACGATGTCACCCATCATTGGGATATCGTCGAGTAAGTTGACTGATTTTTATATGCCAGCCTATTTATCAGTCTAATGTATGGCATCGACTGTGGGTATGTAGTCCTTCAATGATCCTAGCACCCACACAATACAACAGGTATTTATGTGTGTATGTGAGTGATAGGCGATAGCTTGTGTGAACCAGTATTTACAATGATGGGTCTGCAAACCGTACATACAGGACTGAGACAGTCATCAATTTGTAGTATACTTTGCCGACAGCTTTTTAATGACGTCACAGCTCCACGTGCGCATATTGTTGATCTTTCACTGATATGAAGATAGGCCCTCTATCAGCGTATGCTTCGTACGCCAACAGCACGCATGTCGATAGTATGGGAACGGTAGGTCCTTTTAATTAGACTGAGAATAGACGTACGAGAACAGCCACATATAAAACATCCTCAAATCACATAAAATAGTGCCTTAAAATAAAGACGAATCGCATAAGTGAGCGCCACACAGGATACAATACAAACCAACCCATACACCACCATGTCCCGTAGCGTAGCCTGGACAGGCACCGCAGAGTGGGTGCAGGTGTACGAGTGGTTATACAGCCAAAATGAAACAGATCAACACAAAGGGGTGGCCCGTGTGAATGCATGGCAAGCCAGACAAAAGCTTCCTATGGCCATAGAAGCCACAGCTGCGCTGAGAGACTGTATACTGAAAGATAGACTACTGTGTGCATTGAGTGAGCAAGAATATAATAGAGCTTTGGCACTGGTGTGTGAAGTGCCTGTAAGAAAAAGCATAAATACAGCACCTGAAGGGCAAGATATGGCAGAGGGAGAGTATGAGGGTGTGAGTGATGATGAGGACATGGATAGGGAAGAGATCGACAATTCAAGCGACGATCCAGAAGATGACCAAGAAGATGTCATGGTAGGTGCAACCTGCGAGACCTGGTTTATATATATCTATCGAACTATAAAGATATATATGTATATATATATATATGTGTGTGTGTGTGTGTGTGTGTTTTTTGTTGTTTATGTGTGCGTGTGTCTCTCAGTGTGTATGTGTATGCGTATATATATATATATATATATCTGTGTGTATATATATG